TGAAGTGACAGATGTGTGAATGCGCGGCCACAATACGCGCCTGACCCTCCGCCCGCCGCAGCGCCAGCGCATCAGACGCGCCCTCCGTATTGCACGATATGTCTTTTGAACTTTTGCCCTGTTATATTTAACTAAATATACTATCCAATACTCTGTACCTGTATTACACAGGCTTATTGTCATCTTAGTGGTCACTTAAATTCAAATTATAAACCATTTCCTTGATAGTAAAAAGAAAGAAAGGTTGAGTCGGTCGAATAGTAATTTGAATCTCTTTGTTCTTTGTGGTCTGGTCGAAACGTTTAATTCTCAACAATTTTCGTCAAGCCTTTTACAATTTTCGTAAAAGTAGTCATCAAATGATATTTAAATGATTAATTTAACAGCAAACTTTGTAAACACATTTTTGTATTGACTACTTTCTCCATTACTATTTAACCTCGTAAGTACTTGCTAGTGACATTTGTGAAATAAAAAATACAAATGAGTTCAAATAATTTTATTTATCTAATATTTACATGAAACAATATACATTTACTGCACATACAATCCGGCCTCACGTGGGGTAGGCAGGGAGCGGGATACAACTAAGATACGATGTATCTAAGGGGTCAATGAGGTAAGGTGGTGTAGGTGGTGGAGGTGGTGTAGGTGGGGGTTCACCTGGGGGCGCTGTCGCTGCAGCAGCGCTCGGCAGCGCGCCAGCTCCTCCCCGATGGCTTGCAGGGCGTCTTCTACGCGCTGCGATGTTGAAAATGGAGGCCTGCAATAGTACAATAAGTTATTGAACCTAAAACAAGTATGAGTAATCTTACTAATATAAAAACGAAAGTTTAGATGGATGGATGGATATTTGTAACAAGGTACAAGTGTCTTTTTAATTGTGCGCGGTCATATTCGCGGGGTACATCTAGTTCGAGTAATAAATTAAACACGCATACGATATTTCCCCGCTACTAGTTTTCCGTCTCCTCTCGCCCGGTGATAAAAGTTTTCTTCCTGGAAATATTTACGTAATTAATTCCTAATTTCTAATACAAAGTTAATGTGTTAAAGTTAATGTGTTACAGTAGAGACCTATGGTGTGTACGTGGTGCGGCAGCTCGCCCTCGCTGAGTGTGAGGCAGTCGGTGGTGGTGGTGGTGGCGGTGGCGGTGTCGGTGCACGTGGTGTACACACGCGCCTCGCCCGCTGACACATTGCTCCGTCCACTTACTACACCACAATATAAAACAACTATTATTATTGTCTTCTGTCGAAAAACGTACCGTGGGTTTCTGAGACCATTTTCTCTTGTAAAGCATATATTTATCTCTGTTTTGTCAAAGATAATGACAGGGATGTTTTACATAGAGATTTATACGCTACGTCAGTTTTGTACGTACTTTCGTCAGGTAGGTCCGTGAGGCCGGAGATCTCGCCGTCAGTGTCCGCGGACCCGGCTGGCAGTGCGTGCGGTGCGTGCGGTGCGTGCGGCGCGTGCGGTGCTGGTGCGGCACACATCCGCACGGCCGCCTCCGCGCGCACTATATACGTCTCGCCGTCGCCAGAGTCGCGGTACTTCTGCGTTTGTGTACCTTTAGCGGCACTAATGTTAACACCAAGTCGCTAAAGTCGTATCTCTACAAAAAACGAAGCTACTATACGCTAAAATAAGCTAAATTGAGCTAAATTAGGCTAGGCATTACTTCGTTGTCTTGCGTTTTTATTTTGCCGCCATGTACTCTAAAAAATCTATGAGAAGTCTTAAAGCGTGTCTTAAATATTGCGGAATAGGAAATAAATGTACCGAAAGTGGCGCAGGCGCAGGCGCAGTGTCGCATGCCGGTGTCGTGTGGTGAGTGCGCGACAGTGGCGAACCTGCCGGTGCCGCTGCAAGTGCGGAACACGCGGACCTCGCGGCGTGCAGCGCGCGGGCACGTGCAGATCACTGCGTGCTGCTCGCACATCTCTAACGTGCAAATGTACGTGATAATGTGCTGTGTGCTATGTGCATCTTACTTTTCACAAACAAATTCACCCTTTTAACTGATATACATTCATATGGTCGGATATGATGCTTGTAAAAGTTTTCTAAATATGTTAAATGCAATATTTAATTAGTTAAAGTGAGAATAAATAAATATGGACCTACAATAAAAATCTTGACAAAGCAAAAATCATTGAACGTGAACTATGAGAAATGTTGAAGTGTGTAACATGCATTTTAAAACTTACCTAATTGTTTATTATCGTTTTTTCGAAACTTTTCAATTTGATGTTCAATCGAATTCCTATTCCTTTTGGTTTTGCTCTTTTTAATTTTCTCATTAGCCGTAGCTTCTTCGTTAGGATATTTAGTGTTGTCGGGATTCGGTACGTTCATATCAGAGGTACTTTTGACATCTTTAATAACTTTGATGCCATCCTTGTCTGTTGGTTGTGACAAATATTGACACTTCGGTGAGGTCCGACCACTTGGTACTATTTCCTTACTGGATTCAGTACTTGGATTACTATTACAGGTATTTATATTCATATTAGTTTCTTTGCTACAAAGATGAACGTCTGAATCGGGTACATCAATACTAATCTTTTTCTTTCCTTTAATTTGTTCTTTGACTTTTATATCTTTCTCTTTATTGAATACATTTTCTTTATAAGCTTTATTCTTTCGACAAACTTTATGATAACCATTAGATCCTTCTTTAATTTCAAGACTTCTGTTTGTTGGAGAATTTTCGTCTTTACTTCTACGTCTTTCTGTTTTGTTCTTTTTATCTTTTAATTGATCATCTATTGTGTGTGTGACAACAAAATGTTTGTCATCTGATGGTGAATAACCTACAATAGAACAAGATTCGGGTTGTTCTCTTGTTTTATCTGGACTTTTCATATCTTTTTGCATGTTATCTGTATCACTCATGACGTCATCATAAGATACATTCTTGACCACTTTTTCCTCTTTCCTGTATCCTTTAGAAATACTGTAAAGATTTTAAATATATTCAAAGTTAGAGAAATAATCTTCCTAATATTATAAATGCGAATGTTTGGATGTATGGATGTTTGTTAGAAATCTTTAGAACTGGTTGCAACATAACATTTTTTTTTGTTTCCAAGTTAAAGAAATGGCGGGCATAAGCTGTATTTTACACTAGCTGTCGCCCGCGACTCGGTCCGCGCGGAATTAAAAACTATTGGTCGCAGCGTAATGTTATATTGCCTAAAGCCTTCCTCTATAAATGGACTAGCTAACAAAAAAAGTTTTTTTTCAAATCGGACCGGTAGTTCCTGCGTTTAGCGCGTTTAAACAAACAAACAAACTCTTCCGCTTTATATAATAATATTGTTATAGATTTTCTTCTTCTCCTTCTTCTTGAGGTGCCACTCCGACTAGCGAAGGTTGGCGATCAGTTCTCCATATTAGAGATTTTACATAGTTAAAAAAAACTTTCAAAATATAAGTTTACTTACTCGTCTGATTTCTCCAATATACCTTTAGTGGGTGAAGGTAGATTAAAGCTAGATTTTTGGAAGCTAGACATTTGCACACTGGTCGCGGGTTCCGTCGCGTTCTCATACAAAGTTTCTTCAGCCTTAGCTTGCATCACGTGAGATTCTGATTTCTTTATTTCAAACATCTCTCCTGTCTTTAGGGGCTGAACAAATATTTACAACTAAAACTTCAGTCTAGTTTAGATCACGCTAAGTATACACTAAGGGGCTACCTTAGTGACACTAGTGGATCTTAGTAAGATAACTATTGCAGGAATTGTTTTACGTTAAAAAAAACCAACGGTCTTTAGAAAAGTAAGTTTTTCAAACAACTTACCTCTAAATTAAGTAGCGGATCCTTGATAAGGTTATTATAATCGTTAATATTCTTTAACATTGATACTTGGTCCTCTTCAATAGCGAGGTCGTAAGACTCAAAATTAGGCAACTTCTTTTCTGAGTCTATTTCAACTGCCTAGGTTATGTCAAATTTTTATGTTTTAGCATATTCTATTAACTACACAGTTTAAATATAATAAATTGATTATTTTTTAAGATTAACTATTGTCCATAGAAGCGCATAGTTAATCTTACTTTAGATGGATGGATGTATGGATGAATGGATGTATGTGTATTAGAAGGTATCTCCAAAACGGTTGCATGGATCTTACTGAAATTTGCACAGATGTAAAACTTAGCCTGAAAGAACATAGGCTACTAATTAAGTTTTTTTTCAATTCCGTACGAACGGAGTCGCGGGAAACAGCTAGTAGATAGATACTTACAGCAAGTCGTTTCAATGAGTTTAATTGCGTTTGCAATTCTGATATTTTCTCTCTTAAATCACAACTCACTTCCTTTCGGGGACTCTGTAAATAACATGTAAAAAATTGTGGGATCCATCTTAAATGCGAATTATATGGATGTATGTTTGTTAGAAAGTATCACCAGAACAGCTGCATGGATCACGCTGAAATTTAGCAAAGATGTAGAACACAGTCTGGAAGAAAACATAGGCTACTTAAAGATTTTATAATAAACGCGGGCGGAGTCGCGGGCAACAGCCTAGTATAACATATTGTCAACAATAGCTATTATTTTGATTTTAAATTAACCTTTAATACCTTTTGTTCTTCTAATAATATAGCCTCCATATAACCAGAGTCGTCAGAATTTTTCGGAGTATTAGGACATTTTACGTCCTCCACATTGGACAATCTCGTTGCAGGCATTTCTTGCATTTTACAATCCAACTAAAATTAAACGTATCTATTACGTATCTATACGGACGGTCGATGTGGCCGAAAAGTCCTAGAGTGTCGGCCGCGGACAGGTTAACGCAGCGTAGGTAGGTCTCCCACAAGATGACCTGGTGAAGGTTGCGGGAGAGCACTGGATGCGACAGCACAGGACCTGGCATTGTGGCAATCGATGGAGGACGCCTTCGTCCAGCAGTGGATCAATTTGGGCTGTTCATGATTGTAGCATTCGTTGTGCTATATTTGGCTCGTTCACGTACCGACACGTGTTGCCGGCTCAAAGGTCTGACATCGACTGACGTCCCCTCTCTCCGGCATGTACTTATGGCGTGTACGCTCGAGACAAACAACACTACGTTTATGCATACACTACAATGATGATGATAATGATGATGATTATAGAATATTTATATGAATTCGTTTACATGTATGTATATACACTTATATGACTTTTGATACTCTCGCCTGTAACACCCTGTAAAATAGGGTGGGCAGAGATGACAGACCTTAATTTGACGCGCTTTTGACAGACTCTCGCTTTTATATATATACCTGCACGTCAGTATCGGTTGCTCTTAATACTGCAAATGAAAAAAAACTTACCGAAGTAGATTCGCACACCGCGTGTAACTCTGGCAACTGTAAACACAAATATGTTTATTTGCTAAATTTTTTCTGGATTATTTATGTTCGTCCATTCCACTATCGTCTTTACTATCCTAAAAGGACTAATTACCAGATAGATTTAAAAATATTGAATTTCTATTTTATTAAGATTATAAATAATTCAGTTAATGACAATAGATATATTTGATAAATTTGACAAGTTTGTTGAACAAAAGGTTTCTACTGTCGAAACATGTGTCGTCATCAAACATGTCATTTCACTCATTTGCTTTATAGAAACCGAGATACCAATATTTGTGGGATATATGGTTTACATTATGCCAGTACAGTAAGACAGTGACTCTCAAAAGCAGCGTTGACATATAACTGGAAAACATGAAACCAACTGGTGCCAGTGAACAAAAGTAGTCGATGGTAGAGCAGCGCAACTGTCTTACTGTACTGGTATAATATAAAGGGGGATGCGGCGCGGCACCTTGTCAGTCTGGTGGTAGTGGTGCACGGTGCGCGCGACCTGCGCCGTCAGCTCAGCAGCGCGCAGCCGCGTCTCCAGCTCGCACACCTTGCGCTGCTCCGCACTCAGCTGCACCGCTATCTCCTCTGCACCGCACCACGCCACACCACACACAGATTTCATCATTTTTTTCTCACTGACCTAACTAATTTATTACCTAATTTCAAAGAGAGTGATGTTACAAAATTAGGGACCTCCTGACACTTCATCGAGCTCCTCCCACCCCCTTCAAAATGTGAGAAAATTTATGGCACTCGTTAATACATCTCTAAAAGACCTGGGACTGTTCAAGGAACCATTAAGATTTATTTAAGTAAAAGAAAATAGCCCAAAGGTCGTGTTTTTTCAACTTTATGAAGGTAAATATAAACTGGGTATAATATAATGTACCGCATTGTGTCTCAGCGGCCCTGAGACGCTGCAGCAGCTGTCCGCTCTGCGCTTCAGCGTGCTGCAGCACCAGCGTCTTGCCGGCCACCTCCTCTCGCAGCACCACCACCTCCTGCTCCAGCCGGCTCACACGTGACAGGTACTCCGAGTGAATCTTACTTAACTCCTGTAATATATACAAAACTAGACTAAATCACTAAAGCTGTCTTAAAATGTTAAGACTCATTTCCACTAGCGTAGCGATGTTTATTCAAGAAATAAATCATGTATGGCCTGAATCTCGTTTTTCAGGTTTTTTTTTTGTCAAGAAATAATTTATTGATATGGATTTTTACAATAATTACAAGCAACAAAAACAAAATTGAATCAGTATAATTAGTAACTAAAACGTTTCCTATTAAGAATTTAAAAAAAAAATTATCAACTTGCCTCTTCCAATGAAGCAATCTTCTGTTTCAACTCTTCCATAAGAGTTTTACATTTATTTTCATTGCATAGTTCGCCATTCGTCCTGAAAACATTTAGAATAATAAATCTTGTATGTAAAATATCTAGTGATTCTTCTAAAACTAATTTCTTGCAATTTCTAACAAAATTTAATTTTTTTACATTCAAAGTTTTTGCTTCATCTGTATAGAAAATATTCAATAAAAAGTCAAACCTGAATAAACAAGAAATCGCTATAAGCAGGAAATATACCACAGTTTCTTAGTATCTTGTTTATCCAGGTTCCACTATATACATGAATTATAAAAAAAATAATTACTTCTCACAATCAGTCTGCACCTCTATAGCCTTTGTAGATACTGGCTCTCTGTAAATAAAAATATTCAGAAATAAAAAACAAAATAAAAAAAAAATGTCCCCAATTTAGTTTCAAGATGAACCCTAAAAATAATCTGTGACGTCATAAAAATACTATAGTTTAATTTCGCTCTATAGAAATAAAAAAAAAACTTATTTTCAGCCAGCTACAATAAAACAAGGAATAAAATAAAAAATATAGTAAAGTTATTAAGAAAAAAGTATTGTTTTTATGAGTTGGGGTTTCTTTTTTTCCTTTTATAATATAAATTATGTAATAAATTGTGCTATACATACTTGTGAATCAAGTCAGTAGAGGAAACCAGTGTTTGTATATTTGTAGCACTTCTTTTAGTGCTTACATTTAGAGCACTTGTTGATGAATTTCTGAAAATAGAAAAAAACTAGATAAAATATATCAAAAAAATTCATATGCTTAAAAATAAGAAATAAATTAATGTTCCATTTAGTCTTATAATACAATCACTTAAGTTTCAAACATTGTAAAACACAATGTGAATTTCCAAGGGCTGCCGCGCATTTCGGGCAAAGGTTGAGCCTGGCCATCCAACGGGGAAATACCGCCAGCCTCTTGGGAACCCTACTGCAGCGATTTGGGGTCGATTTTTTATATTATTTAGTTTTATTTTTATTTTGATTTAGTTTTATTAATTATAGTATTATGTTAGTTATATGTGTTATATTATGTTAGTTATTTAATATATATATAGTATTAATTAATTCATTTATTTTGCAATGTGAATAAATGAATACATATAAATTAAAAAAAATATGGACAAATATTTATTATTCTAACTTTAATGAGATAGCCGCTGCAAGACAACATTTGTTACATCTTGCAGAATTCTTGCCCAAAAACTGTTTGGCAGAGCACAGTCTCATGTTTAAAATGCGATTCTTCTCCGATAGCCTGTCATTTGCCCTTTTCTGCTCCGCTATGCTGAAAACAGTATAACCATGTATCTAAGCCTGAATAATAAAAAAAAACTATTAAACAGACAAATGTGTTTTCTTATATTCTACAATTTTATAAAACTTTGTTAAGAAGCCTCAATTTGAATTTGGAAAAGGTGGAAGAAAATATAGTTTTATACATACCAGTACATATACAATAAGGGTAAAAAATATATTTACATGTCTTTCTGTTCCCTTATTAATGCTTTGGCATTTATGCAGCAATCCTTTTCATTTTTCCCAAGCCCTGACTTCTGCAGTGCCGCCAATCTTTGCACCTTTGTAGACAGCTGTTTGACCTTCTCATTTTGAGTATTGATTGTTTGTTTAAGCTCTAAATTATTATCCAGTATAGCATAGTAAAGATCTTCTAATTCTTGCTTAGTGAGCTTTGTTGGGTGGGCTCGAGTGAATTCTTGTAGGCAATGTAAAAATATTTTAGTGATATTGACTACTTTTGGATTGTTTTATATTCACAGAGACAGACATACAAAATTGTTAAACTTCTAAGTTAGTTACAGAATGATAAGCTGGCCTTATTATAAAAAAATATATATTTTCTTAAATAATGCATATAGTACTTACCGCGGTCAGAAACCTTTGTGGAGTGGGATTTACAAGTTTCACGTATAATTTGTTTATGGTCTTCATTCATTATTAATTTTATATTCGAATTATAACATTCATTAAAATTACATTGTATGTATGAAAAGAAATTTTTTGCAACTATCATAAATATGTTTTAACTTAATCTTAGTACTGTTGCGTCACCGTTTTTTTATTACACGACTCATAATTTGTACGGATCTTCACAAACATATAATGTAGAACCCATGACTTGATTTCAATTTATAAAATCGAAAGAAATATTACGAAAATGCCGCCATGGCAACAACAAACAAAACAGTTTTTGACTTTGACATTTGACGTTGACTTCGAAGTTTCTTAAAACAATTTATAGATTAAATAAAAATGCATCACTGGCAACCTGCTAGGTTCTGCGTCCGATAGCAGAAAAATGTTAGTGGACCTTAATATTTTATATTGTCTTAACTAAATATAGGTCTTCATAAAGTGCTAAGAACTTTGCCTGTCATATTGTAATACCACGAATAGCTATAGACATGGCCAATCTGTAAGGGCGCAATGTCGATATCTCGGTCGTTATACCTACAGTATAGGGTGAGTCCGCCGGACACGGGAGGACTAATGGAAATGAACGGTTGATGTAAAACAAGCGTCATGCGGTTACTCAGTTTACGAGTATAATGCGCGGATGGAAAAATAACTACTATCGTCCAATGGAAGAAGGCTATGGCATGCATGATCAGGATACTTCTCGCAACATGCATGCATGCGCTAACGACTAATGAAACTGCGGCCTTATATAGCTTTATGGATTTATTACAAACACAGAACACATATTATCTCTTATAGAGTGAAGGGGCTACTAGTTTCACGGAAAACTTGGTCGTCTATCGGTTTGCATGCAGTACAAGTTATTCTTCTTTACAAAATCAATATTGTTAACCCTGGCCGGTAAATAAAGCAACATTTAATCATTTAACAGACATTTATTTCGTAATATGTTTACTGTCTACCATACATCAATTTATATGTTTTCGATTGATTACGTTTTACAATATTAAACTTTATTATGTATTTCTTATTTTACTTCACCTTTGTGTGCAATTAAATAACTGATTTACAGACTTAAAGAATATATTGCTAAACAATGTATAATACTGAATTTCATCACATCATACAAATGACATATAAAACAAATATATAAAACCTTAAATTACATTTTTCAAGGTATTGAATATTTTAGGCATGGGCTAATATTAGAAACCGGTGACTAATTGATTTAAATACATTGAAAACTGACATCAATTTGTGTGAATAAAAAAATACATTTTTATCTATAAACAAATTACAAAATATATAACTTAGGATAAAATAAAGGGTACATAAAATTTAATGCATTTACGAAATATTAGTTTAGTATGGTCTGATCAATAAATAGTCAAAATTGGAACTGACTACATCAACAACTTGACAAATTTAAACATTGTCAAGGATCCAATTAAACTTATTTTACAATAGGAAACATAATTTTAAAGCGTAGCAAAAATAACAAAAAAATTCAACAACCACAACCTAACCTATAATAATATTTAATTTTAAATACAATTTCATAAATAGCATGTAGAGAAAGCACATTTATATTTTACCGATTTTTTAAAATGGCTACATTAATGTACCTACAATATCATTGCAATACCAACATTCTTCTACTCTATTACATAGATACCAAAAATATTTGAGGTTACAAATTTGGTAAAATATTTTTAAATTTTGTTTTCGAGTCATTCATTTATTGTCACGTTTAATATTTAGCTCCATAACTATACTATTCTATAAATCTAATGTTCATATTATTACGTCCATTGTAACAAGTTAAAAAAAAAACAAATATAAAAAAAAAATTGTGAATTAATTTGTTGAACATTAACAAAACTTTGTCTCTTCTCATAGTTCAATTCGTTTTAAAGTGCTTTGGTTTGTCGCTATTAAAGATATTCACCTTCAATAATATAAAAAACAAATCTTTCACTTAGTTCTCGAAATAAATTGTGCTGACAAACAAGAACGAAATGAAATTAAAAAAAAAATCAAAACGTATTTTTAATCTGTATACATTAGAAAAATAATTAAGTTTGTGTTGAAATATTAAACTTACGGAAAGAAACAATCCATAAAAGGATCATTTTTTGTAAAATTTCATCAATACTAAGATATTTGTAGGTTAGAGTTTTCAAAGTTATTATTATCTATCAAATACGTTTTTTTTTTTATATATTCTTACAAGAGTAAAACAATCTCGTCAATAAAATAGGACCACCTCATTTGAATCGATTTCAGGATCGGTAAAATTGACTAATTGAGAGATATCCATTAATTTATTCGTCGAATTTTATGTAGGCCCTATTGTAGTTCAAATAGACACTTCATAAATCTGCATTAAAAATTCTTATTTTTATGTTCGTTAAGAAATATAAGATTTAAATTTATTTCAAGTTGATTTTTGTCAAAAAACATCGATCCAAAAAATCGATTCAAAATATACACACGAGACATCTCTTAAACATTACAATATAAGCTTGATTATGTATTGTCTTCTCTATAATCTATGTTCCTAATATAACAGGAATTAAAAACATCACGATTATTTCAACATGTCTACAAATTGTCGACTACGTAAAATGCATTATAAGGGTTTAAAATTTCGCTCTTCGTTTAATTGCAGAGATCATTATATCGCATACTCTTGCGCGATATAAACGCTGGTTTCTTGTAAGCGGACTTTTTCTGTAATCAGAAAACATTGCTAAATAACTAAGTTGAAAATACACGCTGTTTGGGAACTCCCTCGTTTCCAACAATTTATTGGCTGTTCAGCAAAGATTAGTTGGTTACCTAAGTGCCACGCTGCAGCCCTAGGGCGGGTCAGCCTAGGCTTTGTTCTGTGCGGCCTGACGGCGCAGGTCGGAGCGGATGGCTGCAGTGATGGCGGCGCCGAGGGCGAGCAGCGCGCACAGTGTCAGGTTAGACCAGCGGTCACCCCACGCCTCCAGCATTCGCTCGTAAGCCAGTGTCAGCACGATGCCAAACACCTGAGGAAACCGAAACAATTCAATTTATTATCAAAAATATCTCTTCCATCTGTCATACTTAAGCTAAAATCTATCAAAATAATAAAGTCAAAGATTTTATGGTCAAGACATTCATTGATCTGTCCAGATAATATTTTACAACTCACCTGAACAACAGCATTGAGGATACCAGAAGTGGTGCCCTCGGGTTCAGGGTAAGTCACCTCGGAGGCGAACTCGAAGCCAACGGGCAGGTAGCCGGTCATGAAGAAGCTTTGGAAACATATAAGATATAATTGCTACTACGTATTCTTATTCTTTCACACTCGACAGTATACATCTGCCAGGAACAGCAGACGATACTTGTAGTGAACATTGTAGACTCACCCGAGTAAAATGCTGCTAAGATAGACGACAGCGATGATGCCACAGTCAAGGGTGAAGGTGAAGATGAGCATGCCAAGCACTGAGGCAACGTAGACAGCGAGCGTGGTCTCCTTAAAGCGATGCGTACGGTCCAGTATCAGCCCGCACACCACGGAGCCCGCCATACCAGCCACCACAATCACCAGACCGATACGTCCAGCGTCCTCGTTTGCACCCTACGCAAGACAATACATTCGCTCGTTAAGATTTTACGAAACCCACTAAAATTTTCATAGAACAGAAATTGTACGAACCGGATAATAAGTGAGCACGACTTGGTTGAGCAGCGTCGAGATGGCATAGAAAACGCCGACGTTGAGGCCGTAGGAGAGCAGCAGCAGCACATAGTTGCGGTTCATGAACAGCTTGCGGATGGACTGCAGGAAGTTCGAGTCCAAGCTGGAGCCTAGGTCCGCGGCGGCAGACGGCGGTGTCGGCGGGGCAGCCTTAAAGACTGGAAAACAGAGAAACAATGGTTAATCGGGACCTTTTTCTTATCAAAAAGATCACATCAGAGTTAAAATATCCTAGCGTACACTTTCAGCATTATTTGATAGCAACAACGAGACAAATATTTACATTGAAATACGTTCGGGACAGAAAATCAATTTGAGAATATGATTGAACGGCGAAATATATTCAGACGTTTGGGAATTCGATATATTTAGATAAACAAAATATATTTCAAGTCTTTTCAATCACAAGTCATTGAGTTTACGTCTCTAATATGACATGTCAATCCAGCTAATCATGGAACGTTTAGAATTCGGAAAGAACGGTTGTAATAGCAGCTGCACTATTTCTATTACACCTCTAATTATTATAGGTTAGATTAGAAGTACTGCTGTTTCATTATACATTTTTCACTCTTTCTCAAGCGGACTTCCTTAATTACTAATCCCCTGTTTTTTGATATTGTAACGAGGGAACTGCTTTAGTTCTGATACAGAGTAATTAGCAAAAGGTTCAGTAACTCACAGAGCAGGATGAATACAAAGAGAACGCTGGTAAATCCGGCAACGAGGTAGAACATAAGTCGGAAGTCAGCCGCCATCTCGTCCGGGGTGCCAGTCGCACGGACCAGCATCGGCGGCAGCAGGAAACCCAGCGCCACTCCCAACTGAAAGATATACAGACATTATTACTAGTGTGTTAATGAAAGAAGTAGGATACTCTGCGCCAATCAGTCCCAAATAGACACAAAAAACCACTACGGCTTACAGCCTGTCCATTAAATAAAGTCAGTGGTTCAAGGTCAAGTTGTGAGGCAAATAAGGCACAAAAATGTACTAAGAGAAGGAACATGTATATAGCTGTATCGCTCACTCTCTAATAAATTACTATAAGTATCACTCGCTTGCACAATAAGATGGCGGTGATTTGTGTCTCTGGTTCCCCTGTGTATAATGGATAATTAGTTCATATTTATTTTATATTAATAAAATTTGCTTTAAGTGATTGTATAAAAGCATCCTTTTATTCGATAATTTAATATTATTGATCCGTTACATGCTAATGTATTTATCCAAAAAGTGATAAGGCTAACCTTTTTAATATCGGATCATTAATCCTGTGGTTCAGAGGAGACGGCACAATAGCCATTATTTAAATTTATGACACCGCTCACCGGGCCCTCTCACGGAGCGGAATGAAAACATTAGGACATTATGTTGGAATTCATTAATCATGTTATTTTCCCTGGACTCATATTCCATTATAAACTACTACTAATAACCAAAGCAATTTGGTCTAAGTAAAGAAATAAAACAACACTATTGCTAGGTTACACATAACAAATAATTAAATTGTTTCTCCAAATAGTCTATTATTAAAATTATGTGTTCTTTTTACTTCATTTGGACATTTTAACCGTTGATAATTAATTTTCTATGGATTGTAACGCTGTATTAAATTTTATACACTTTACATACGAAAAATAATCTTACAATACTCTGACCAAGTTTTGTAATAATCTATCTATGTATTTTTTTATTTATTTGTCATTGTTATGTGTTATTTACTGTTATTATAAAATATGTTATCGTGTAAACTATTATGTAAAGTGTGTATAGTGTCAAATTGGTTGTATACTGTAAGGATGCTATGCAGTTGTTTTTAAATAAATGAATAAAATAAAAAATAATATTAATATTCTTCGTATAGACGTAATATACAGGGTGTCCCAAAAGGTTACGTACATAGGAAGGGGGATGATAGGGGTGGTCACAATGGTCACCAGAAAAATTAAACAAAAATAAATGGCTTTTTTTTAATTCTGGTGACGCCTATCATCCCCCTTCCTATGTACGTAACCTTTTGGGACACCCTATATGTTCAATGACTTTGTATTTCTGTTGGAGATTTAATGCAAACAAATATATACATATTTAAATAATATCAAAGAGATGTTTGTGATTAAATCGCGAGGGTTTTACTCCGGTTTTCCTCGACATACGACAACCAGTTACTTAAGGTCATTGTACCACATGATTTTGTAAAAGTCGTTGCGCAAGTCCTTTTCTGAGTATATCCTTAACACATATCATATTTAATGCTGTATTTTGTATAAACAAATTCGTAAGATAAATAAAAATCACTTTATTTATTAATCCAGAAGACCGATATTACTGTTTTCTCATTTGTTACGGAGGTTCTGAACACCAGAAGAACTACAGATGTATTGCCGACATGCAAAACAAATGAAAATGCATCTATAAATGTGCGCCTCGTATGCAAATGGTGACTAAAATCTACGATAGTGTTCATCTCCCTAGTGCCTGGTGCCTGGTGCCTGATGCCGCGTGATAAACAAACAGATTATCATCAATAACCCCTCACGGGTGCGAATTGAACAATTGCTTCCGACATTCGCGTGTTACGATGCTCGCCGTGAGTTTACACTATCGAAACTCTTCTATAGAAATATATTGTTATCTCTAATTTATAGACAAGATATGGTTATAATCAACATGTTTTGGTACATGTTGGATCAATGGAAACTTATAGTCTGACAAACTTCCTCGTCGAGTATACATTGCAGGACTGTTTGTGTGACTATAGTATTTAGCTACGCGGACTCGATGTTCGTTTGTTTCATTGTTCTTTTATATACATATATTAAAAAGGTATATTTATAAATATCATACATAAAGTGGTTTCAAACTGATAAAAGGACGTGTTATGCTCAAATGACAAAAAAATTGTACCCTTTTAAATCGATTTCGGTCTCCTAAAGACATTTTATGTTCGATTCATTTAAGTACGTATTTTAGCTTGTATACATATACTCAACCAGCACTTAGCTAACGAACACTTTACATAGATCTTACATATATTAGTATGTTAAATGAAAGGTGTAGACAGTAAAAGTAATTGAACACAGACGTTGGACAGCGTGATTATTATAAGAAACCAAATTGCTCGTGACATATCACAACAATGTATTTATTCAATTTAATTTTATGAATTCCTTCTCTTTTTAGGGTTCCGTACCTCGAAAGGAAAAAACCCTTATAGGATCACTTTGTTGTCCGTCCGTCTGTCTGTCATGACCCTTTTTTTTGAATTTCAAATATAGATTCAGAGTGTTTTTTTTTGTTAGATAAAATCGCAAGCGGCGAACTCTCTCGGAATACTAGTGTTAGGGTATTGTATAAAATTTCCTTCGCCTTTATAAAATTGAATTGGATAAATTTCCTTTGGGAAGTTATAAAATTTGTACAACTTGGATCTATATTCTTTAATAATACAAGTTTAAGTAAATGTTATTTTGATGCTAACTAAATTTGACATCACCTTAAATTTTCAAAGCAAAAGAAATGCATTTGGAAAGTTATTTTTCTACTTAACCTTAATAAATAGACATTAAAGTTAAGTTCAACTTAACTAACTTCCCAAAGAGGTCACTCTACGAATCACCAATGTACACACATCTTGCTTGGGGTCAAAGCAAACACCGTGTAAGCACGTAACATATTAAGTTCAAACAAAATTTTGTCCGTTAATTATCGCAAGAAAAGCTTATTTTGCGGAAAATTCTCGTCTTACAAACTCATCAAGAGACTTAAGACTTTATTTCAAAGACTGAGAGTCGTTATTCCCTAGTTATCCCTTATCTTTGGTCCTCAGCCCTGGAGAGTTACAGCAGTAAATAAATTCAGTTATGTTTTCATATTTTGTATTACCTCATAAGAATTTTACGAAAAAACTGATTGCTTACGTACAATTTATTTTCACATTTCACCCACATTATGGGTTAACGAATAAAACCCGAATTAAATAGTTAAAATTTACATACCTGATTACCAAATACACCGATACTGCAGGCAGATGATACCTGGTCGGCTCCAAACCACACAGCGGCAAGTCGGGGTGGTACATTCAATATGAAGACCTGAGACACAGCAACCACAGTCTGGCCAGCAAAACCCAGCCAGAACATGTCCTGTGGCACTGAGAACACCTTCAGCCATGCACCCAGACATGTCCCGAAAGAACCGATGATAGTCGTCACACGGAGACCCTGGAAAATACCATATCTAAATTAATATATAAACGTTTTATCAACGTAGAAGCTAGTAAGATATGTACGTCAGGTACATAGGACGCAATATGAGACGTACAATAACGACGTTAGGGTAGGGCCTGGGTGCCAGGCATAAGGGGGCATCGCAGGCGCCTCTTTAGATCCGACTCCGCGCCTGCAGTGCCCCTATCTTTGGTATCTGCAGCACTACAAAAGGAGCTACGCAAAAATCTTGCCAGGGCGCCGGAAATGCTAAAATCGGCCCTGAGAATACAGGTTATTGCCTATCGTGTAGGCCATGAAAAATGACAGTTTGGAGAAGAATTAAAAAGATGAGGAACTAAAACTATCCTCCTTAGTGATTGATTAGGCTTCGTAACGAATATTTCATGGTATTTGAGTTTATATTGTTACAAAAATAACGCTGAATGCAACAATAGATGGAATAATTGACCACTCATCTACTCTGAATAAAAGACCTGACATTGCAAATGTACGGTTGGCTACAAAAATCTTTCCGTGAGTTTCCATTGGCGAAACACATATAAAAACAAATTATCATCCTGTTCATTTTCATTAGAAAAAACAGAGATAAGAATATGTTTTTAAACATGCAGTAGGAACACGTAACGATTACTTTTTGCCGCTTGAAGGTTGTCGCTTTATTATGATATTGTTGAATTGTATTCAATACAATTATAACAGAGTTAAAATTGAAAAAAACTGTTATTCTAAGAAAATATATTATTAAAATTATTCCTTATTTCATTACTTCTTAGGATATATAAACAAAACAGCAAAAATAATTAAAGAAATGGAATAGAAAAGTGGAAAGATGTGTCACTCTCTAGAGAATTTCCAAAGCAAAACTTGTCGAGTTTCCATCTTTTGTATCTTTCTTATTAGGTTGAAATGAAGCACTTTTATTGTGGAACTACGCAGTTACATAAGACCATATAAGATTAATAAGTATTTTTTGTCGTTTCAAAGCTGCATCTCAGCATCAACAGCTTCGTGACAGTTTATTTAAAAAAGTTTAAGCGTGCCGTGTATGGTGTTACCATTGTATATAAAATTGAAGCTTTAATTTTGGCAAGGGTACATTGCTGTACATTGTACAGGCGACGGACGCTGTCGCTATTCAATGCAATGTAAATTACATTCGCACAAACCTCCAGGTACTCGTATCTCTTGACGCTCGCAATTCCCAAGCGAAGAATTTATGAACTGCATTGCATATTGGGATGGGATTCATTTTGAAATGCAAGCTAATTGAATACATAAACCATTTTAAATAGCTAATGTCATCGTTAATATCTTGGAGGAGGAAATGTTTTGTAAACATTTCTACCAAATCACTAGTAGTACCTAAAAGTTGTAATTTTAAAATTTAAAGCGATACACGCACAAACATAAATTCTGTTTTCACTACAATAAAAGGAATCACAATGTATATGAAAAGGGTAGCCATTTTTTACATTTTTAAACTCCCTTATCGTGTCATGCCTGAAAAGCGTCGGCTTAGCGCTGACCGCTATTTATTTATACAACTTTACATAAAATATAAAGAGCTCTATCTCGCACATGAAAAAATATTTCTGGGCATCATCTGTGTAAGCGGATTAAAAAAATGAGCTTGCGAGTTTGCAAAATTTTTGGTCTTAAATTTTAGTACCATCTTTATATATATAATTCTTCTGTGACTGTCAGTGAACTTCTCTCAAACGACTGGACCGATTTTGATGAAATTTTTTGTGTGTGTTCAAGGGGATCTGGGAATGGTTTAGATTCACAATTTTCATCAAATATTAACTTCATATTAATTTATTCAAATTAAAGACGTGTAGACAGGACAACGTCTGTCGGGTCCGCTAGTTTTAAAATAAAATATTCACAGTCTTTATTCGCAATTCACGAGATGTTCGTACAAAAAATATTTTCATTAATCGATGAAAATTTCCACTCGATTCTTTTCTAACGCGACCTTTTTGAATGGAACAATCAAGATACAACGCCCACGTCGCGTCGGTCGAGGCAATCAAATCCATTCAATCCAAAAACTCTATTCTTTACAATGCCTTTATTTTGCACAGAAATCAATTTTGTCACCAAGCAATATTCAAATTTGGAAAAATACTTCAAAAATAGTATAGAAAAGCTATGATATTTTTATTCATGTATTATTTTATCAATGACATAATATTTTAAAAGCATATAATCGCAATAAAAAACTATTCCCTCTTACTTAATTGTAGAAATATTTTTAGTCGTCACAATCAAATGCGTTAATGTTCTATTTACAGATTGATATCAATAGAATTATGTAGAGAACACATTTTTCTACACAACATTTACGTACGCTAACTCAGTTGAGAGCGTGATAAGATTTAAGTCACGGTGAGTAATTCAATTATTTTACTATTATTCTCCATTTCACTATAAAACACACTTCGAGCGCACATTACCATAAACATAAGATTAGGTTTTATAAATGAAAATGTATGTATAATAACGCTCCTGCCTCGATGACTTGGATTTATTAATCTATGCAAAAATTAATCTATAATCATTTTTGTCTTTTTTATGATGTGCGTGAACTGTTATATAATTCTTTAGGAAAGGATAATATACTTTTAGTAATTTAAATCTTTAACTGTTATTTATTTTATACCATAATCTCGTTTAATGACCACAGTTTTTAGTTACTGAAAAAAGGGTCTTGACAGACGGGACGGACAACAAAGTGATCCTACAAGGGTTCCGTTTCCATTTCAAAGTACGGAACCTTAAAAAGGAATTCACTAATGTAAGCATAAGGAATATGTTCAAAAGAGTAAGGCCCAAGAATCTGTAAATGCTGTTAATTCTATTAAATAATAAAAAAATGTAAATTTAATTTCCTTTATAACCTAATAAAAACATATAAATATAGTAAATAAATCCCTTAACAAAGGTAACTCAATTTTCCTCGAGCGAAGCTTCGATATCAATTATGCGATTTAATTACCCAACGATGTTGTCCAATAATGGACACCATACAACTAAGTTCCGTGTTCCATAAAAAAATGAATTTAAGTCAACGGCTTATTACTTGATTTAAGTAACAAAGTTATTTGGAAAATTAACTTAACCTATGCAACGCAATATCATAGTCATAGACCAATCTAGCATTTTATTAAAATCTTACTAAATAGATAAGAGAATGTGCTGTCTCCTGAAACACAGTATTTACTAGTTCAGGAGACAGAGCCCACAAAATGTTTGTGAAAATGTGTTTTTGGTCAATAAAGGTTTTTTTTACTAATATTATAAATGCGAATATTTGGGTGTATGGATGTATGTTTGAATATATCTCCAGACCGGCTGCATGGATCTTGCTTAAATTTGGCATAGGTATATAATATACTCCGGAAAAACAAATAGGCTACTAATTAAGTTTTTTTTTTCATACCGCGCGAACGGTGTCGCGGGCGACAACTATTTATTGATAATTGTCTTTTGAATAACATTAACATAATTAAGATATAATAAATTATAAACAGAAGCTGCTTGTTTAAAATGTAGGTTAAAATAACCTGTTATTTCAAGGACTTATTACAAACAATGACCAGTTTTTTTCCCTCTCATCTATTTTATCACGGATCGTTTTGATCGAATCGTCTGCCTAGGGATCGGTTAAAGCGGATTGTAAAATTTTATTGGGAAACTGACTTGAAACTTCCATTTAATTGTTTTTCTATGTTGTCAGTCTCCATGTTGACAATGTATAATATAGTATCTAAAGCAAGCTATTTTCCAGGACGATCATTTGAGGTGCTCTTTATGCAATGTATATGGTTCTGATTATCAATGGTATTTGCCAAAAAAATTCAAGGTGATGTCAATAACAACGGATAGAGGACATAGATATAATATTTATTATACGTTTTAGCCTTGCTTGTGATAAACATTTTATTTTACGCACAAACGTATGTTTTCCTTACATCTTAAGGCATGTATTTTTAAATGGTAACCAGCAAACAGAGCCAAGGGCGCTACATATTAAGCACTGATAACGTAAACTTGTAGCTAGTTAAATATTGTGGGTTTTCACTCAAGAAACACGTGTATAAGAACATTTTATTATCTCTGTTCTTTCAAAGGGAATGAGTAGGATTATAATATATTTTCCGTTTTGTTTTAGCAATGGAAACCCACACTAAGATTAACACGCTGTCTGATAACACATGGTTTACGGAAGAAAAACAAATGAATGCTAATTGCGACTATTAAAGTTAATCTTTGCAGTGTTTTCAGGCTAATTACTTTTGTAATATTTTGAACGACAGCGCAAGAACTGTCACAAAATGTTTAGTTTTAATTTTACTGTAGCCAGCGTTCATCTAGCCAGCATCAAATGATAAATTATCACTGTATTCATCATCTCATCAACTTTAGCGACCTATAGAATAGATGCGAATTTTTGACCAACCATGGAGCCAACAATAGGAATTCTGTACAATAAATTGGTGAAGTGTGTGTGTGTGTGTGTGTGTGTGTGTAATCTTCATGTGTGTAGTTTACATGTGCTGGTTATTATTGTCGTTGCCATGACGATCATTAAGAGTTTATCTAATCGCCGACAGTTCAAAGAGAAATGTATAAATCTCAGCATTGTGATTGTATTAACAGTGTGAATAATTGCTGTAAACCTTAGTATAAGTAAATCGTTTCACGAATTTGCCTCATGCTGTGTTTCTCTTTGAAATAATTTAAGATAAGATTAATAATATTAAGTATGTACTGACATGACATTAAGATTTGAAAATTTGAGGGTTCTGGAGCGTTCCTTGGATATCTCGAAATCTTCTTTGCTGCATTTGAGTTAAGCCACCGAGAGGGTTTTAGTGGGTCCCACATAACCCTCCTTTCCCCCTGACAGCAGTATCTTTGGAAGGTATCTCCAAAGTCCAAAAAAGTTTTTGAATATTAATGCAGCAATTCTATCCAATTTGAAC